CCCCAAAACCCCAAAACCCCAAAACCCCAAAACCCCACTACAAAGAAAGTGGTTGATAATACGAATTACTGGTCTAGTGTTATTGTTTTAAAAGTTGAATAAAATTGGATGCGATTGGGTTTTAGGATTAAGACTTTGAAGCTGATTTTTGAAAAATTTAGGTGGGGCTTCGTGTTATTGGGTTTTTAATGCTTATTTGAAGGCCTGGTTTGAACATTGATGCAACTATTGTTAAGAAGGGAGTTTTACTATTTCTTATTTTGTTAGGAATATTTTAAGGTTGTGGCTTGGATAGCTAGTTCTCATATTTCTCATCAAGGATTCTTATTTTAATATGTTATTTGCTATTTGAACTGCTCTCTCTTTTTATTATAAAAAGGAAGATAATTTTTTTACAATATTATAGTCTAAAAGAATAGTGCTCATTTCTTAAATTTGGATGTTTGAGATTCTTTAATAGTCTTTAAAATTTTTAGAAAATGATTATTTCAGCAAAAAATTTATTACTTAAATATAGAAAAAAGAGAGAACTCTAACCTAAAGAACTAAATCTTACAATTTTCTTCCAAATTATCAACAACATCAACTCCTAATTAAACCATCACAAGTTCTAACCCCCTTTCCCCTATCATCCCCTCAAAACCCACCAATTCCCCAACCCCCCATCTACCCAAACCTACACACCCACTCACCCACCTCTCCTCCTCTCCCCCCCCCAACCTCCAAAAATACACCTACTTCTCTAAAATCCCCAAAATCCTAAACTTAAATTCCCCACTCCAGCCTCCTTCTGACTCAAGAAGTTATGAAAATAGGTGACTTATAGTACGAAGAAGTCTGAAAGTTGTGGTTAAGGAGGTTTTGGGAAGAAATGGGAAGAGGGTACTGTGGAAGAAAGGGGGAGAGGTTGGGGATGGGTGAGTAGTGGGGGTGGGGATGAAGGGGGTGGGATAGGGGATTTAGGGATTTTTGATTCATGAATTTGGGATTTTTTGAAGGGGATTCATGGATGGTGGAATGGAAAAAAGGGGAGTTTTAGGGGTTTGAGGGGTTTTAGGTGGTTAGAAGAGTTGGGACATGGGGAAGGTGGTAAAGAATGATAGGGAAAGAGTTGAGAAGTAAAATGAAGGACTATGTCTAGTATATTTAGGTACTGCTTAGTTTGAGGGAAAAATCTTTGATCAAAATGGAGATCTTAAGTTTGAGAAATTTTATTTGCAAATTAATTAGAAATGATAATATTAAGCTCCAAAAGTGACAAAATCCTTTTGGTCACAGTTAATATTGAGGATCTCCAGACCTTCAATAGGAACATTCATTAAGCTTTGCTTTTTCTTCATTATAAGCTTTCTTGTCTCTCTAAGTTCTGCTGATTTTTTTAGCAAAAAGCTAATCTCACTTTTAATAGATACTCTTTTGGCTCATGCTTGATTTCCAATATCTTCAGAAATATTTCTGAAAGAGTGACTCTCTTTGGCTTTAAATGAGTTAGCAAATTTTTTATCACCACCAGTCTTTTCATAAAACCGAGATTTAGTACCACAAAAGGGTAACGCTTGAACTTTATCGTCTGAGATTACCTTCTGCAGATTAGAAATTTTAAAAGAAGACATCTTCATGTTGATATTAATCCTCTCACTAATCTTAATTTTCTTTGTGATTGCTCCCTCACTAAGGAAGTTTTCAGATAAGTTTTCTTCAAAAATTAAGGAGTGATTCTTTGTCATTTATAATAAATATTATTAAAGCTCGCTTCAGTTATTTATCTAGACTTGGGGTTTTGGGGTTTTGGGGTTTTGGGGTTTTGGGGTTTTGGGG